AGGAACCCCGGGGGCTGGACATCCTGGACACGGACACTCACATCCTCACCCATTTCCACCGGGCGGGATGCCCCATCCAGGTAGGTGTTCTTTGCTGGGAAAGGGAGGGATGAGCTTGAAAGAGGATCTCTATCACCACTTATTTCTGCCCTTTTTCCTTTAACAATAATAGATAGTTCCAGAGCTGAACTTTCTTTCAGACGTTATTTTATAAGAAGAAACACAAAATATTTTACTCTGTTTACTTTAACAACTACCACCCTGTCTCCATTTAAGTTTTTCTAAAGGGTATAACTATACCTGCTGTTTTTTGTTTCCTTAACTTATACTTCCTCTGACTTTTACCCCAAAGCAGTGACCTAATTGCTAAATCTAGGGGACACTTCTGCTCCTTATCTAGTTTGACCTTTGTTCTTACTCAAAACTAGCCATGCCTTTTTAAAAAAATTTTTATTGAATTTATTGGAGCATTGGTTAATAAAATTATATAGGTTTCAAGTGTACAATTCTGTAATACATCCCCTCACCATTTATTCCCCTTTACCCATTTCTACCTCCCTCCACCCCCCTTTCCTTCTGGTAATCACCATACTGTTGTCTGTGTCTATGAGTTGTCCATGTCTTTTTGTTTGAAAATCTTATCTCTTGGTTTCTCTGGATCTTTATCTTTCTGTCTCAATCTCAGCCACTTTAGTAGACTCTTTTTTCTGTTTGTGCCTGTGTAGTTTCATTACTTACACACCGATGCCTCTTGATCTGTATCTCTGATTCATGATTATTAACATTCTAGACACTAATCCTGCTGCTAAATGGACAGCTCCACTTTTCTACCCTTCCCTTTCAACCCTATTCTTCCTCTAGTATTCTTTGTTTTCAGGTACTTAATTCAGAAATCTTGGAGCTATGTCTGACTGTTCTATCTTTGGCATCTGCCATGACTACCAGTGCCCAATTTCAGACTCTCATACCCTTACTAGAGGCCCGATGCACAAAATTCATGCAAGAGTAGGCCTTCGCAGCCCTGGCTGCCTCTTGGCCCCGCCCACTGGTTGTTCTGGAAGGTCCTACATTCTGGTCTAATTAGCATATTAGCTGTTTATTATATAGAATTCTTTCTTTTTTTCTTTTGTTAGTCCTCACTCAAGGATATTTTTTCCATTGATTTTTAGAGAGTGTGGAAGGGAGAGAGGAGGGAGAAGGAAGGAGAGAGAGAGAAACATTGGTTGGTTGCCGGCCACATACATCCCTTGACTGGAATCAAAACCTCGGCCCTTTGGATGCACGTGCTAACAACCTAATTACTGGCCCACACTGGTCAGGGCATCATACCCTCATTATTTCACATCTAATTTATTGTAGGAACTTCCTCTCACTTTGACTCCAGTTTTCTCTACCTTTGATAGTTTCACAGAGTTATTTTTCTAAAACACGTTTGTACATCCTTACTAAAAATTATTCTGTTGTTTCCTTTTATCTACAGAGAAATTCCAGACTCATTGCCACAGCATTCTAGACTTTTCTTGATCTGGCCCCTGGTTAACGAAATTACTGGTTCTCCTGGAACTTTGTTGCTAAAAAACACCTATGATTCTAATCTTTTCTGCCTTGGATGTTCTATTCCTACTCTGTCCATCAGAAAAATTCTTTTTTAAAAAAAATATATTTTATTGATTTTTTACAGAGAGGAAGGGAGAGAGATAGAGAGTTAGAAACATCGATGAGAGAGAAACATCGATCAGCTGCCTCCTGCACATCTCCCACTGGGGATGTGCCCGCAACCCAGGTACATGCCCTTGACCGGAATCGAACCTGGGACCTTTCAGTCCGCAGGCCAACGGTCCATCCACTGAGCCAAACCGGTTTCGGCAGAAAAATTCTTAATCATCCTTTAGAATTAGATCTTTGCTCAGATAGTATCTCTGTGACCTTTCCAAATTCTATCAATAGACTAATTCAGCGGTCATGAGGACCGAAAGGTTGGTGACCGCCGAACTAAATCACTCCATTTGTCCTGTACTTCTGCAGCACTATTACAGTGCCTAAATCATGGAAAGAGCAAGTGAAGGAGGGAGGAATTGCTTGGGTAGTTGGTTGGTTTGTACTGTGGGAATGCGTTCAAGGATAGGTGCACTTTTTAATCAGCCTTATTTTCCATTCTCTTCCTGATGTCACTCCATTTTATCTGCCCTTTCTCTTGTGTGTCTGTTCTCATAGGCATGTCTCAGATGCAGCTGGCCCACCATGGCCCTCATGGCTTAGGACACCCCCATGCTGGGCCCCCAGGATCTGGGGGGCAGCCCCCACCACGACCACCACCTGGCATGCCTCATCCCGGACCTCCTCCAATGGGCATGCCTCCCCGAGGGCCTCCGTTTGGATCTCCTATGGGTGAGTAGGCTCTAGCCACCTTCCTCCTCCTCCTCATACATCATATTCTTGTGGCTTCCTTTGTCACACCTCTTTTCCCCTGCTCTGTCTATTCTCTCCCTACACTCTCCCAGCATCAACTATCTCCTATTTCTTGCTTTTACTAACTTTTTTTCTCTTCTTACAGGTCACCCAGGTCCTATGCCTCCCCATGGTATGCGTGGACCTCCTCCACTGATGCCCCCTCATGGATACACTGGCCCTCCACGACCCCCACCCTATGGCTACCAAAGGGGGCCCCTCCCTCCACCCAGACCCACTCCCCGGCCTCCAGTTCCCCCTCGTGGCCCACTTCGAGGCCCCCTCCCTCAGTAATTTCTCATGCTCTTTCCTCTTGTTTTATTTCCCTAATATCTTGTCAGTTCCTTGGACCAATCAGAGTTGCTGTAGTTTCCTGGGGTTAAGGCCTTGATCCCTTTTTTTTTTTTAAGATTTTTTTACTGATTTTTAGAGGGAAGGGAGAGAAACATTGATGTGAGAGCAAAACATGTGATTGGCTGCCTCCTGCATGCCCCCTACTGGGGATAAGCTGGCAACTCGGGCATGTGCCCTGACCCAAAAAATAGCCAGCAGTCTTTCCGTGCATGGGACAGTGCCCAACCAACTGAGCCACACCAGTCAGGGCCCATAGGCCTTTTTTTAAAGTGTAATTTTTTAAAACAGGAAGTTGTTTTTTCTATGTTGGCCCCAAGTGTTTTGCAGATGTACAGAGAAAATAAAGCTAAATTCCTTGTTTATTCTTTGTGGTGTTTTCCTTGACAAAGTAACTTTTTTGTAAGAAGAGGTGTCTGTTTATTGGGAGAAAAATGATAATATAAGAGTGAGGGTGTTTAATTCCACATGTTTTTAATGTGCTGCTGTAATTGTTGGACCACTGTGCACTATGGCAATTGTTTCCTTATGTCAAGCTTATACAGTTAGTTTATAGGATGGAGACTCAGTATCAATGGCAGAGGGTTATTAAGTGAGAACAGAAGTAAAGTTACTGCAGATATGCCGGCAAACTATGAAGTAACATGCACAAAGTGATTCAACATAGTACTGTTTGTAGTAACTAGATTGGAAACAACTCATATCCATCAGTAAGGGACTGATTGAATAAACTGGTAAATTCACACAATAGAGGACTGAGCTGAGTAGAAAGTAGGCGGAAGATGCTACATAGTGTTGTGAAAAAATCTCCAGGATATAGAGTAAAGATAGTAACACAGAATAATGTATAGTGTGCCACTTTACCTATCTTACAGGTTGTACATAATGAATACATTTGTTTACATTTAAAAAATGTAAGGATAAACCAAAAACTAGTGGAAGTTGATACAACTAGCAGACGGGGGGAGAGATGGAGGAAAGCTAGCTAAACATCTACGTTAATGTGGTTTTCTTTGGAACTAAATACTGCAAAACAAAGTTGGAATTGGGACACAGGAACTCTGATTTACATCACATCGGAATCTACTCAAAGACTTCTAGTAACGAGACTAAATCCAATGGCTTTTTTCTCTCTTTCTGTTCTTTGCCACATTTAATTTGGTTGTATCACCCCCTTTTCAAAGTTATCAGCTATCGGTTTTGACTTATTTAACCATTAACTTTCCTAAACTCGAGGCAAGAAAAGGTGAGCCTGGCCCTCTTGCTCTTTTGTTTCATTCTCTGACTGACATTTTTATGGCACCTACAAGGACTGTGCTGGGGCAGCAGAGGATGTGAAGATGAGCAAGGCCATTCTGCTGTTAATCATTACCAAGGGTATAGACTGACATTTATTATGAAATAAAACATTTTGAGAGGGGGCTGGGGGCAGCCTAGAAGGGGTCAATTGGTGGCAGGGAGAGAAGGGGATATATGTAATACTTTGAACCATAAAGATTTAAAAATACATATTTTGAGAGCACAGGGAAGGCTCTCTAGAAAAACTTCTGGAAAAAAGTGATACTTGAATGTTTGGTGTTGAAGGCAGGATGAGGTCAGAGCCAGTTCAGGAGCTCCCACAGATCAGTGCTTCTCAGCTCTTTCACATCATGGCACAGGGCCATTTGAAACTGGCATACTGAGGGCAAGGGACATGGCTGCTTCAGGCTGGAGGCAGTTGGCTCAGGAATTCTAGCTGCCCCAGGCTCTGCCGAGAAGCCCAAAGTGCTGAGGGAATTAATATCTGCACACACTGTCAAAACACTGGTTGGGAAGCTGTTGTCCATGATGGAAGCCACAGGAGGGATTTAAGCAAGGGAGTGGCAGATTTGTGTTTTAGAACCATGTAGCAGTGTGAAGTAGATATGAGAGATGAAGGCCGGGGCAAGTACCAAGTTAAGTATCAGGCAATAATTCAGGTGAGAGATGAAGTCGTAAATGAGGGCTGTAGCAGGAGCTGGGATGAAGACAAAGAAATACATTGGGGAGGTATTTAAAAGCAAAATAGTAGGACTTGTAGTTAGAATGGATATAGTGAGTGAAGGGGACAGTGAGATCAAGGGTGAGAGTATGCAGCAGGAGGAATTTTGTGGCCAGGATGGAAACAGTAACCACTATTTTCTCTATTACTATAGATTAGTTTGCATTTTTCTTGAACTTTATATAAATGGAATCATATAGTATGTACTCTTTTTTTCTTTTCTAGTATGTACTCTTTATGGTCTGGCTTCTTCATTATTTGTGAGATCTTTTTATGCCGTTTTATATAATAGTTCAGTCTTTAAAAAATGTGTTATGTAACATTCCCTTCAATGATTATACCACTATTAGTTTACCCAAGTTTAATGATTTTCTGGTTAACAGTTGAAGTTTTTTAATATTACAAGTAAAGCTGCTGTGAAAATACTTATACTTGTCTTTTTGTGGGACATATGCACTCATTTCTTTGCTGGATCAGATCTGATTTGTTTGTAGAGGATCACTTGACCGCTGAGAATAAGTTTAAGGGGAGCAAGATTGGAAGCAGGGAAACCAGTTAAGAGGCTGTTGCAGTAGCTATAGACAGATGGTGATGGCTTAGACCAGGGAGGAAGTGATGGAGCTGGTGAGAAGTGGTCGATTCAATATACTTTGAAGGTAGGGCTGACAAGACCTACTGATGTAGTGAAGAGAGAAAGAAAAATGGTAACTAACTTCATGTCTTTTTTTTTGGCCTGAGCACCTTAGTGAAGAGGCAATCCAGGAAGACCTGGATCAGAAGTTTATTTATGGATCTGTGAAGTATGTGATGCTTAATAGATATCTATGTGGTGATGTCGGATTGACAGATGGAGATTTTGAGTTTTGGCTTGAGGGAAAGACCTGGACTGGAGGTGTAAATATGGGAATCACCCGCATATAGACAGCAGTAAAGTCATGGGACTACCTGAGGTGACCAAGGAGAAGAGAGTAGGTGGAAGGACCCAGGACTGAGCTCCTCAGAACTCTAATGTTAATGGACCCAGCAAAGGGAACTGTGAAGAAATAGCTGGTGAGGTGCATGGGGTTGTGCTGCCTGGAAAAAACAATGAAGTTTTTCCTCAGAAATTAAAAAGAAAACTATAAGCTTTCTCTCTAGAAGTATAAGATTTCTATTTTAGCAAGTAATGATCAGTGGAGAGTATGCAAAATCACCTTAAGGAGAAGAAACAGCTCCCTGCCAGCAGTACTTGGCTATAACCTAATTGAAAATATTAGCATACTTAAGCAAAGAATGTGTCCGCCTTGGAAAAAGGTCAGCAATAGAAGCCTCGTAAAGGGAGAGTCCTTGAGAACCACATGGGCACAGCTGTTGCAAGTACCATCCTGGAAAGAGAGCGTTTGCCAACAGTTGGAGTAGCCAGGCTGCCCATAACATAGAGATGGGGGTGGAGGATTGTAGCCAAGAGTTTTCTGAACCCATTGGCGCGACTCCTTACTGGGGATGGCCAGATGCCATTAAAGATACAAATACTCCTGTTCGGTTATGTCATTGTGCATTTACACACAGACTCTATGATTCCGATTTAGCTTAAAGGAGGAGAATGCCGGATGTGCAGGCATGAGTTTTCATTCAGTCTGAGTGACAGTTAAATTTCTCATGGCCAAGGAATGTGTATGTATTATGGCTTTATATTTCATCAAATTGTTAACAATGAGTATTTCCTAGATGTAGCCTTGGAGTCTAAGAAACCCAGGCCCACATCCCTATCTGGTAAATTCAGCACCACAAATGCCCCCTGTGAGGTCTCTTGGGGCCTAGTCTGCCCGTCCTCTCCATGTGTCCTACCCCAGCGTTAGGACACCTCCATGTTTAGCAAAGCAGAACCACACAGTGTTAGATCCGAAAGGGAGCTGATGCAGCATCTCATCCAGCCCACCATTTGTCCGATGAGAAAACTGAGTTTCAGGGAGGCAGAGAACGTGACCAAAGCCCAGAGCTTGTTAGAAATGGTAACCCTCACCCTAGCTGGTTTGGCTCAGTGGATAGAGCCTCCGCCTGCCGACTGAAGGGTCTCGGGTTCAATTCTGGTCAAGGGCACATGCCTGGGTTGGGGTCATGCAGGAGGCAGCCGATCAATGATTCTCTCTCACCATTGATGTTTCTCTCCCTCTCCCGTCTTTTCTGAAATCAATAAAAATATTTTTTTTTAAAAAAAGAAATGATAACCGAGGTCAGAGCCCCTGGTCAGCTCTGCCCAGCATGTCCTCAGTCTTTCCTGGAATAGGTAGGCACCTTCTGCATGTACATCCCCATACCACCACAGAGCCCCTCTCCCCTGGAGCTGGATGTCACCGCGTGGTATGTCTTGTGTCTCTGAGCCCAGGTTATTGGTACAGGGACAAAGGAAAGATGAGAGCAAATAACTGGAATCAATGCCCCGTTTCCTGCCCTGGAAGGTGTGTGTGTGTGTGTGTGGGAAGGGTTCTGAGGGAGCACCTTTCGGAGTCACTGGAGCCAATGAATAGAAGGAGGGCTGTCCAGTGGGTCAGGCCTTGCAGCCCAGCTCCTCCTGTACTCACCTCTGCGGCCAGGCCCCGAAGGGAGGATGGGGAGGTCTGCGTGTACATTAACCACCTGGACCAGGAGTCTCTGCCGCCTCGGGATGGAAACCACCCCTTGTTACTCCCGCGTTTCCTAAGTGGCCAGGTAAACTGGGAGTCTGAGCACCCGGCCTTTGGGGGTGGGGGTGGGAAAGGTTCCGGCTGCGAGCAGGGAGAAGGGGAAGGGAGGTGCTTGGAAGGCGGCGAGAACCCCTGAAGCATGTGGGTCCTGCCATTCTGGGGCTGGGGCGCCGAGAAGGGGGCCGCTGCCTCCTTCCCCACCTGCCGCTCGCTCCGTCTTCCCACCGGTCTCCCCGAGCTCGCTCTCCTCAGTTGCTTCCATCTTTTCCTAGGAAGGGCTTGGGAAGGGTTTTGTGTCCTCTCCAGCTGTTCCCGTGACAACCCCCCTCGTCCTTCACCATGTCTCCCCGGCTCCCTGAGTCCTTCCCCATCCTTTTTCCTTCT